TACTTGAATGTACTTTGTCATTGTTCTATTTCTGTGAAGAGACACTGTAACCAAGGCAGCTCTTAGAACCCAAAGTCTGCCAACCTGAGTTTAATCCCTGGGAACTGTGTGGTAGAAGGACAGAATCCGGTCCTATAAGTGTTCTCTGGTTACAGGATACTCAGCATGGCCCAATAATTACATCATTTCTCCCTTCCCTTTTCTCCTTTCACTCCCTCCCATATACTGCTCCTTGCTCTCTTTCAAATTTGTGGCTTCTTTTTTCATTAATTGTTGCTATGTGCATATGAATATATGCCTATATATCCCTACATACAACCCGCTCAGTTTGTGTCAACACAGGCTCTGGTTCCCTCGTTTGAATTGGTTTGGCCCCTACCATGACTCCATTCTTTCTGCCCTTGGGCTGAAGAATACTTCTGTTGCCATGCTGCCCCCAAGTTACTTTCCAGCCACATACCCAAAAGAGGGAAAGAAAAACTGCTCTAATACAGCCCACAGGTTTAAGTTCCACCAAGTGACCCAACACTCAGTAACTCAGTTCCTCTCTCAGGAGATAGAACTGTCTTGCAGACAGTGAAGTGGTGTTAGGGTAAGGAAGGTAAAATGGATGCCCTGGGCAGTGAGTGCAGAAAACCCCAAGAAGTGAATGGCAAGGAGAATGGGGAGACACTTGAAGGGTGTGAGCCACACTCCAGGTTTGGGACTTCCTCCTGGGGAAGAGCTTGCTAAGAAGACACTGCTTTTAGAAAAGTCACCCTAGATGTGGAGGAAAGGTTTGAGAGGTCTTGGAATTGTAAACAAGGTACAAAATTTAAAAGCTGGAAGAGCATTCTAGACATTGAGACCTTGTCATAAATGGACATGTCAGCAAATCATTTGAATTCAGTGTGACCACTCAAAATTGGATTTTGTTAAACAATGGAAGTATCATACTTGTGACTAAATCTTCTGTGGTGTGCCGGGGCGTACTGCCTTTACAGGGCTGAGGACTTTGTGTTTTGCTGTGGCTGAGATCTCTGAGAGTGACTTTGAGGAGTGGCGGGCTGTCTACCATCGAGCATCCACCTCGGTGCAGAACAGGCTACTGAAACTGGAGGAGAGCTACGAACTGATCGAAAAGGTGCGTAGAGTTATCACCTACGAATAATGCATTTCCACAGACGTCCAGTCTTTGCTCGGGGACCAGTAGAATCAGAAACAGGATATGAGGTAGGTTGCTGGTGGTTGTCTAAGGAGTTGCTGAGTTCATTTTCTGGCATGCACCAGTAAAGACAGAAGGCAGACCTACAGAGAAAAGCAAAGAAGCAGCTTAACCCTTCAGGATGGGAAGGGCCTGAGGATGAAGTTCTCTGTATGGATCCTGGCTTGGGTATATTGTGGGCTCCTGGGTCCTTTCTCCTTATGGTCCTTTGTGTCTTCAAGGTCTCCTCAAAGTACTTTCTGGGAATGAGACGCCTTAGTCTCAGAGAGTCTGCTTTCACCTTTCGTATCTACCTGTGACTCTGACAACCATTCAGCTGTTTTTGTTTTTTTTTTTTTTTTTTTCCCTCAAGACTTACTGTTGATTCTCAAGATCAACAAATTAAGAAATCTTCATATGGTCTAAAAATCTTGCTGAAAGGGCCTAAGGACTAGGTATTGTTGTGTATGGAGCTTCACTCCTTGCAGTTTTGTGCCATTTTGAGTGGCTAGATTCGGCCACTCTAGCAATCTCCCTGCCAGTGCATCCCATTGCTTCTGTATCACTGAAGACACATGCACACACAGACACACATACAGGGACATGCAGCACAGACACATTTGCACATGCACACACAGAGAAATACACAGAAAGAGAGACATAAATATACAAGCACAGACACAATTCATACATTTATAACTAATGTTTATGTAATATGAAATAACACAGCTCTGTGGGCGTATAATGAACAGAGAATGACACAACAGTGAATAGCTTGGTAGTTCTGCACTCTGGCTGCAACCACTTCCTTTGTTCCTTCACCATTTCTGTCAAATACCTTTATTTTACACTTAAAGAAATCAAGTCTGAGCCAGGTGGTGGTGGCTCACACCTTTATCCCAGCACTCAGGAGGCAAAGGCAGGCGGATCTCTGTGAGTTCGAGGCCAACCTATAGGCCAGTTGGTCTATAGAACTAGTTACAGGACAGCCAGGGCTACACAGAGAAACCCTGTATCAAAAGCAGAGGAGGAGGAAGAGGAGGAGGAGAAGGAGAAGGAGAAGAAGAAGAAGAAGAAGAAGAAGAAGAAGAAGAAGAAGAAGAAGAAGAAGAAGAAGGAAGAAGAAGAAGAAGAAAAAAGCCAGTCTGTTCAGGCTGCCAGTGACAGATACCCTGTGATTGCTGCCTTATCACTAGCAAGAACTCATGTGTCCCTAATTAACAACAGTAAGCAATCATTTTGTGTAGTCCTTACTGTGTACCACTTTCATCTACTAACATGTTTAATCCCTTTTTGAGGAACTAATTGCCCCTACTTACAGATGAAGAAATCTAGGTGACAGAGAGGCTAAGACACTGGACCAAGGTCACAGAGTTCAAGAGAGGATTAGCCAGAGCCCCTTGCTCAGATGCAGTCAAGGGCCTTCACTCTAGCTTGGACTTGCCACTCCATCATTGCCCAGTTACCTGATTCCCCCAGTGTTTTCCTGGGGTGTAGTATGGGATCAGAGAACCACCAAGGTGCAGTGTGGTCCACCTGGTCATGGCTGCAGGTAGGTGAGGCTGACATTTTCTCCTCTCTGCCGAGAAACTAGGTACCTCTTGTGTTGGAAGGCAATTAGTACCAAGACCTCAGGACTAGTTCCCCTTCACCCACACGCACCCCACCTCACTCCCCACACCCTTCTCTTTATGTAACACTAGGGAACATCTCGTTCTAGCTGCAGTGGTTTTCTGACACGTGTATATAACACATAAAACTCAAGGTAGTCTCCTGTCTCCATAAGACACTGTAATCACTTTAGAGGTGGTATCTTGTTTCTTACATATCTTAAGGAATATTATATGCCCCTTTTACTTACAAGTTATTTAAGGGGAAGATACCTAGATGATACACATCTATGATTTAAAACTTCCACCTTTTAATGTGGATACACATTCAATCTTTGTCCAGCAGATGGCGATGGTGAGTTATTTAAAATTTAAGTTCCCTATGGACTCGCTTTTTTTTTTTTCTTAAGTAGTATACAAATACAGAAACCTACTAAAAGGCTGCCTCGCAAAAGAATGGGGAAAAAAGGAATATGGAGCTAGCTGATTTTTAACATTTGTGATAAGCCCGGTGTTTGGAAATCTAAGATGTAGGAGTGTAGGGCGACAGGGTCCCATCCTCAGCAAGGCTGTTCCAAATAAGAACAGGGTTTTGTATACTTTCCTACTCCTGACATAGGGTTCTCCTTCATGCATTCACATAATCAACATTCCCCCAATGATTAAGGTATACGAGACCACAGAGTGACTAAGCAAATGAGAACAACTCCCTGAGGGTCTCTAGACACCACTGTGGTCTGCACCGATTCCCTAGGTGAGGGATTTTTAGGAGGGACCCACTCTCTTGGTCTGAAGGCAGCTTTTAAAATAGCCCTCCAAACATTATTTTGCCAGTTACAGGAGAATAGTCATCTTTGGTAGACTAGGCAAAACTGGGCCAAAACAACACAGGAGTCCAGGTGGCTGCATTATTTTTTCTGGAAAGTGTCTTTGAGGACTGCAGGGTTTTACTATGTGAGCCTGAGCAGGATGGCTCTGCTGTCTGTCTGAGTTTCCCCTTGGTGTTAAAATCACCTGGATTGGCATTCAGAAGCTGTGGTTACTTGCAAACTGCCTAGAGAGACACTTTGAACAAGAGAGACAGACCACCGGTTCCATCTGACTTTAAAGGTTGCCTCCATAGCCTCAGAGTTCATCCACCTTGGCTTCTTTGGCTGAGACACGCTAATTGTGCGATCTATTCCTTACGTGGTTGTAATCCACTAGCATGTAGACTGTTGTGTTGGACTGAAAGTGGAAGCCAGTTAATTTTTAAACTGTGAGAGTGGTTTTTGCTTTTCTTTTTCCTTTTAGAACAGTCCATTTTCCAAACAAAACATCAGCCAAATCATATGATATACAATTGATGATAGCCAAGGGGCTCCAGATAGCATGAAGGGTAGAAAGAAGCCCCAACGGCTCTCCCCTCTGCCTCCCCCTTGCCTCATGGTGGTCCATGAAGGGCTTCACAGGACTCTGGGCTCCTCTGAGTGCAGTATGAAAACTGTATCATGTTACATCTGTGTGTGGATGTTTTAGACATGTGCTTTTATAAAAGATCAGAGAATCATTGTCATGCAAGATGCTTCCGAGCATATTTGAATTAGTGATACAAGATGCCATGGACGTGGTAATCATGTTACATTGAAAACATTCTAAATTGGAAAGATGTGTAGAGCTTCTCCTGGAAAACAACAGTTTTAAAATATGATGGAGTAAGTGAAATTTTTACAGCACAATTAAAGTTGTGGTTATAAACTCCATAAAGTCTCATATCCCTCCAGTATTTGTCCAAACTAGTAACTTGGTTTTTAAAACTGAATTAAAGCCTTCTTCCTTTGGGGGTTATAACTCCTGCATAAGCTTGAAAATATGTGGCTAGGTGTGGAGGCACAGGCCTCTAATCCCAGCACTCAGGAGGCAGAGGCACGATATCACTGTGATCCTGGTCTACATAGACAGTGCCAGGCCCACTGGGGCTACAGAGTAAGACTCTTTCTCAAAAAGATGGATTGATGGGTGGGTGGGTGGGTGGGTGGATGGATGGGTGAGTGGGTGGATAGATGATGGATGGATGGTAGGTAGGTAGATAGGTAAGTAGGTAGGTAGGGAGGTAGGTAGGTAGGTAGATCTGTCTAAATAGGCCACATCCAAGAGAATACTGATGTTCATCCTCTGCTGGAACCCTGTTACTTTTCTCCCAGGATATCTATGTCTTAGTATATACCAGCTTTACCTCAAGGGCCACAGAACACAGCAGGTTCAAAAATGTCCCAGTTATTGTTAGAGAAGATCTGGGATTTTAGCGTCTATCTGTAAAATTTATTCATGATTGTTCAAAGACAGTGCTCTTTGGGTGCCAGCATTTGATTCCACTTCAGAGTAATAATTCTAATACTGATTTGTTTCAGGAGTCGATTACTAGTGCTTTGTTACTGAATATAAGGAGAACAGTGACACTTATTACTAGGAAAGGCTAAGTTCCTCAACAGTTAGGAAGTTGAGAGGCTCAGGGAGGGGGGCTAGAGTCCTGGCAGGTCCTCCCACCCTTGACCCACTTTGTAGACTGCAGCAGCTCCTCTTCTCTCTTCGTCACCACCTGAGAGAATTTACAGTTGTCTCATTCCGAAGACGACAAGCTTGACCTGTTTTGTTTTCCCTCACCTTGTACTTTTGGAGGCCAGGCACTATATTCAGACTCAACATTTCACCTTATGAAACCACTTCAGGTGTGCTGTCTTGAAAAATCAGATTATTTTTAAGACAAACTTGAGTGTTCAATCCATTTATTTACATGTGCTCAGAAAGAATTACAAGTAGCAATAAACATAAGGTTTTGAAGTTCGGTTGGTGATTGTCTCTATGAAGTTTCTCCCCTTCTTACTGTAAGCTGTCTCCTTAATTCTATTCTAACATTTCTAAGGCATATAAATCACTTTTGCCTTATCCTCAGATGCTGTTGCTGTATTCTTTGAAAATAACAGAACAGGGGACTCTGATTTTACCTTCACACAAATAAATCATTGGTTGAAATATGATTGTGTGTTTTCAGAGTACATACAGGGTTGGGTTTTTAAGTATTTATATTAACTTGTTTCAATAGGAAAAAATTACATCTTTAGCCCTGCACAGGTGACCTGTTCATGATGTCTGTGTTTGCAGGTCATGCACCTTAAGAGTTAGAGAAAGTGAGAGGCTCAGTACCTATGCACTGATGGACACATTACTCCCCTGGTGAAAGAAGAAGAAGAAGAAGAAGAAGAAGAAGAAGAAGAAGAAGAAATCAAGTCTGTTCAGGCTGCCAGTGACAGATACCCTGTGATTGCTGCCTTATCACTAGCAAGAACTCAT